TCATCCGTCAGAACAACACCATCACCGACAACAACCATCACTATCACAATCACTGCCAGAACCAATCACCAACCGTCCGAACAATTTCCATCCCACTTCCTCACTTGCCAATCCCCCAATCCCCCCCCCCCGCTCCGGCCTTCTGTGCGTGCTTGCGCTCCCTTCTCGCCAACCTCTGCGGTGGCCTAGGCCAAAGGAAGAACCCAGCGACCCTGGTAGAAACAGAATTATCGACCAAAAAGGCACTGGACAACTGCGTCCTTGTTAGGGTTCCCTTTTCAGGTAGCTTTCGTAGCTTTGAAGGCAAGAAGGGAAAGCGCCCATTTGGGGGGTCCCTACTTTGACTATTGTGACACATACCCGTACGGGTCCCATGGGTGCAACAAATTTTGAGGGCACGGATACTGCACCTGAACTAAACCAGAAGGACTCTTGGACCCATGAAGGACCCTGGTAAGTGAGCCCCTTGCACCGGACTCCAGGTTGGTGAGCTCGCCAGAATTGATGCAGGCGGCTTAACCCTCCCTACGGTGCATGACCCCTAAATTGTGGGCAAATGTTCCACGGACAATACTACATGCAGTTGTCTCAATTAGATGGGCTCCTTTGTTGAAGCGTCATAAAAACCAGGTATATAGTCCTCTCTCACAAAGTCGTTCACAAACACCGGGGGTCCTAGGCCGAAACAAAACAAATCATGTGTTAGCTCATGCAGGTTCCCTGCGTTTCCTCAGCTTTCTAAACTCTTGCGCCTCCAAAGGTCTCTTTTGGAGGAACATAGTCTTGGACCGGTGAGGTTTGCATGTTGTTGTCCTGCGGAAGAGAGAGAGAGAGAGAGACAGAGAGGAAAAAAAGAGAGAGAGAGAGAGACAGGTACTTTCTAGGGTAGTCCCTCCGGCTGAAAAAAACAATCATTGGCCCCAGATTTGTCCATCCGGGCAACGCATCCGTTTCCGTTTGCCCCTCGGGCCCCAGCGGCAACGAGGAGTCCGAAGAGCTAGGCATGTGGCCATGGCTGCATGGAACTCCCGGCGATCCGTTTTCCGGCAAAAAGAGAGCTGATCACCAACTCCTGCTTTGCGATGCTTTGCCCCACAGAAAAAGAGCAAGGCAAACATGATGCGAAACTTAAACATCATGAAGTTGTGTAAGGATTTGGGAACGCGCCTTGTTCGCCGGACACGCAACTTCAGGTGTGCTTCTTCACCCCCATTTGTGGAGTCCGAGGCTAGATAGAGCCGTAGGTAGGCCTTCAGCCCTCATCAATCAAATAAAGAAAAGCAAAACATACCTTCGTTCATTGGTCAAACAAAACAGAGGCGAGCTGGGTGGGGAGTTCTCCCAGATTTAAGCCATTGTTCTAAGATCCTCTTTCAGGTTCCTGTCCTGTAGTTGTCCCTCTTTTTGTTTGGAGTCATGGTATTACCTATTCTCCCTTACCCAAAGCACCTGGAAATAAATCAGGGGGACGGCAGGCTGATCTTCATCTGTCGTTCATGGAATGCCGCGCCCACCCACTCACCCACCCTCCATCCACTCCAACCGACCAACCAAACAAGCAACCACCCACCCACCCACCCACCCAACCAACTACCCAACCAACCAGCCAACCAACCACCCACCTAACTTCGGGAACTGACACTTTGCCAGACCCTTTCCCCCCTACCGCACCTGTGCTCAACCCAGCTCGGTGCTGCTCGGAATACTGGGAATGCATCACGAACCCAAGATGCTCCCAAGTCCAGCGCGGCACTTTGGTTGAAATTGAGTGTCTGGGGTATGCATATCTCCAGAAAGTCGTTGATCTTGTACTTCCTCACTCGCTGATGCACTCCTTGCATTGTTCTTGGTGGCATCAGATTGTGCTAGTTCGATGTTGTGATTCTATATGTAGAAACAAAAAAAACATTAAGCATAACATATATTCCAGCATACATGCTTATGATTTCCACGTTTGCTATAGGAGGCCGAGCCCTGATTAAACATGCGTACACCACTATTGTTGAAAAACAACCTAATGGTGTTTTGTCTTGAAAGGGAACCACGATACTTTTTGTTCAAACACATGTTCCCCCCTGCCAACGAATGTCCTACAAAAGGGGGTCCTATATTTCCCCTAAAAGCATCACCAAAACAAAGGCAAACTCATCTTTCCGCCACAAAGGTGCTGTGTAAAACCAGACAAAGACCTATTTATGGTGTCTTAAAGGGTGACGGCCACTTTTCGTGTTCCAAGGGCCAAAAAAAGTTCACAACCCGCTCCGTAAACGCGAAGGAGGCGGGCACCTCAGCTCCGGATTGGCCTTCCAACCTTCGGAGCCCATGTTCACCTGCCAGATCCTGTCGAGCTCGCAGAGGTTTTTGCCCAGGGTTTGGTTTCATTTGTTGTGGGCAGAAAAGAAACAGCAGTGACTGGTCAGGCGAGCCGGATTTTGGTCAAGGGTTTTGCTTGGGGCAACCTACTTTTGTCAAGGGTTGCTGTCGCGCTGTCGCGGATGTTTGTCAAGGTTTTTGTCAAAGGTACTGTTTTGTCAAGAAATACCGACTTTGTGTTCCAACCTTGCGTTTTTCCAACTTTGTGTTCCCCAGCTGAAAGCATAAGGCATTCTGCCCGATTTTCGGCTCCGGAGTTTGGAGCGGCGGGCTAGGGTGGCGGAAGTGTCCAAGGGGGGGGGGTGCTGTTGGGGATTCTGCCATGGCTTACAGTACGTTGTTTAAAAGATAGAAGCCAAAAAAGAAGAAATCTCAAAAGAAACAACATTACCTAAGGAAACCCAGGCAAAACCTAGGCCATGCCACGCTTATCCACGCTTCTTCTTCCCGGAGATCTATTTGTGGTGGCATGGATGGAGACAACCTCAAGATCCTTTCACCCGCTGCGCCCCAGCCCTTCCACAGCCTATCTTAGAATCGAAAGGGCGGCCAGATCTGCTCCATCTCTTCCGCACCAATTCACTCAAAGATAGAATTGATTGGCTGTGGCCCATCATCTTGTTCCAAGGGTCGGACTTTTGAGCCTCCATCACACTCTTGTTTAGCAGGCGAGAAAGGAAAATAGAGAGAGAGAGAGAGAGAGAGGTGCCCAAACGTAAATCCTCGCTCACAGCCTCGCTCATCACCATCCTACATCAGGTTCTCCTACAACTGTGTAACACCTTGGGATTTGGAACAGTTGGACGTGGAAGAGACTGATAGAATGGTGAAGCCTGGTCTCACTGCATCTCTAGTTCGCCCATCCTAAAGTCGTTCATTTGCATGCTGGATGAAGTGGAACAGGCGAATGAAGGAGAATGCCTGTCCCTTCTCCCGTCAACTCGCTCCTACGGGCTTTCCATCCTCATGACTCTGACTACCTTTGTCACTGTAGAGGCGATTCCATTGGTATGGCAGAACATGGCCTGATTGACTGAATAATAACGTATTCCGGAAAACAACGCTCAAGATACAGAAGGCAAGCTTTAAACATTAATATTAAGACTGACGCTAGCAGGTATCCCTTGGGCATGGCCAAATAATTATTTAGCAATAATTAGCAAAAATAATAGCAACTTGAAATTGCAATACCGAGTCGCTGAAATATGAAATAGCATTTCACAATTGCAACGTGCATGGGTCCAGAAAACAATTAGCAATCCGACATAGCATTTCACAACTGCAACGTGCATGGGTCCAGAATTGAACTAGCAATCAGGAATTGCAGCCCCTCTTGTTGGATCTAAGAAGTTGCTTCAGGGTCTTTAGCGGCAACCCAAACGCTCAAAGTCCGTTCACCGCTGCCCAACACATTTCCCTTCAGTTGACTTTGCGACTTGCAAACATGCCAGATGCAATTCCCATTGCCCATAAACTTGAAGCATGCGGTTTCCCACAAAACAAAAATGAGTACTGAGCTTTGTAGATGTTGGGGCCATACCTCCAAGTTTCAATCATTGACCTGTGACTCTGACCAGCTGAGCCTGGCGCGCAGATCTTTTTGGCCCCGAAAAGCCAGGTTGCATGGTGTGTGGCAAATGTGTGCCTGGGCCTAGTTGGTGACTCATGCCAATCCCCATGGTCCTGATGTCACTTCTAGGCCTCACGCATCACTCAGCCGATTGTTCCCGTCTAGCACATGGGTTTGCTCAATTCAGATTCCAGGGTTCTTGCGTAACACACGTGTAGCTGCCACACGAGTTCCAATGTTTGCGGCAAGCTGCGGCAATGGGGCTGCTGCTGTCAACATGTGCGAGCACAACCCAGCGCAGGACCGGACTGGGCTGGGAGGAACCGACTGTCTTCCCAATCTGGCTGGTAGACTTGCCCCACGGTCTTTTGAGCTTCAATCCTTCCCTGAGAAAAGAAGGTAAAGGCCTTACTAACTTTCTATTGACTTAGAAAGCTAGTTGGCCCCAAAACAGGCGCTTTTAAAGAGTCACTATGTTCAACGTGTCAGGCAAGCAAGCTACCCAGCCAAAAAGAAATTCTGAGCTGCGATGTCGTCAGCCTTGCTGCCCTTTCGCAGCCTCCAAGAGCTGTGGTTGAATCATTGATTCATCCAAGCCATCAACTTTGCTGGTCAGAAGCCCCATTTGTTCAAAAATCACTTTTCGCAGGGCCTCTGGGCTTTTTCCTTGCGAAACACCAGCGTCAGCCAAAGACAAAAAACTGAGAGCATACGACAATGCGCTTTCCACATATTGGACATATATGGAAGTGCGCAACTTAGTGGCCTCAGTCAACAACCCCCCGAAGCTCAGGTATTCCTCGCCCAGGCTTTGCTCCCCCCTGCCCTCAAGGAAAACAGCGACCTTGTCAAAGAACTCTTCCATCTCAGTGACAGCCTAAGACAGGGGTGGAAGGACTCTACACTGCTATACCCTGCTACGCCTCAACTACTAACTACAGTGAAGTGACAGGGGTTCACGTGCTGAGACTTAAGGGCCTACGGGGGGTTCAGGGGTTGGCGGTTGGTAGGACATTGTCTCAAAAGCCGAGAAAAATTCAAGCACAGCTCAAGCAAACTAAACCCAACCCGAGACAAGATACAGCCAAGGGTCTTTGCTGAAATCACCTAGCTGCTTCTTCAGCACCTTGCCCACTATTTTGCCAAGGGTTGCGTTCGCGTGCTGAATCACGTCAGTCAGGCTTGCGTCTGCTGAAAGCTTTGCTTTCCACGAAGTCTCACCTCCGTAGTACTGGCCAGACGCGGACTCCACGCCAGCCATCAGACTCTGGAGAGCCAGCTTGTGCTGGGCGCATTGCTTCCGGATGGCATCTATGAGTTCCTCTGGCTCCATCATGGGCCGCAAGGGAGCAGCAAGGTCAGCACAGACCTGCAGGATCGGGGGATCCTCCTCATCAGCATTCTGGCCTGCGTGAGTGCCAATGTAAGTGTTCAGCTTGGAGGTTACCTCAGTGAAAGCCTTGCGGAAGGAGCACAGCTGGAAGAGCATCGAGTGCTTGACGTCGTTTTTGAAGCCGTCGCTCAAGTCAAGCTTGCTCAGCTGGAGCTTGAACGTAACCACTACCTTGAGCATCTCCGTTCCATCCACGAAGTAGTTCATGTGCTGCATGGGCGCGGCAATTTTCTCCAGGCCCTTCAGCACTGCCACCAAGCCGGTCAACGCTGTCGAAACCTCCGAGGAAAGCTGCACCTCAACAAAACGTTAGCCGCTAGCCGAGCCTCCGCGCAAACCAGAAAAACAATCTACGAAACGCTTTGTACTCTGCGCTACAGCTTGCCAAACCCCACGCCTGCAGGGCAGCGCGCCTCAGCAAGTGCGCCGCGACCACGTGCAGCCGCTCCAGCACATGACCGGGCAAAGGCAAGGTAAGCCGCGCAAGCACCGCCTTCACGTGAGCCGCGTCCACCGCAATCACCTCTGGGTACGATTGCTTGGAGACGGAATCCATGTAACCGTCAAGGAATGTGACAAAGTCCCCCAGCGCCATCGAAGAATTGTGTCTGGTGGCCCAGTTCATCAACTTCACGTGCAAATCCGCGCAGCGGTTCTCTGCGCCGAAACTCTTTAGACCATTGAGCACAGTGCTCAGGTCGGTAGAGGAAATGGGCGCAGAATCTGAGCTGAGCATGCCTTCTCCAAGCTGGATGACACGACTGCGCAAAGCATCCTCAAGGCTGTCCACCGCGCCCCTGCGCATCGCCTTCTTGAGCTTGGGGAGATGCGACAGGATGGCTTCCAAATTTCCAGCGCAGCCCGGAGACAACAAAGCCGGAGCCTCCGCAAGAGCCTGCAACTCGGACAAGTACTTCTCGCAATGCACTTTGCTTTCCCCGTCAGTAGCCGCAGTCCTGATGACATCGCTCACCTCCTTGCACCAGAACTCACGGGAGGCAGCCTTGACCACGTTTCTGTCCACCGAATCAGGCTCAGGTGCTGTCAACAAACTCTTGATCACTCTTGTGAATGTGTCTGGGGCCTTCTGCACAGTGATCGCCGTAACTTCACGTGAGCTCAAGCCCAAGCTGGCCGGGGCCGGCACACGCAGTAGGTGGGCCAGGCATTTGCAGACCTGCAAGAACTGCATGTAGGACAATTTCATGGTCTTGCCCAGCTCGTCTTGGTCGAAAAAGCCAGTAGCAGCATTGCCGCCCGCCGTCCACAAGCTCAAGACACCGCCAACAAGCCGCTCAAGCGAGGCCCGCTTCTCATCATCGGCGACGTTGTGCACCAAGTCCAGGAAGATGTCACTCGAAAGGAACTCGCCCACAGCGGTTGCCAGCGCCTGCGCTACATGTGTCTGCGCGATATGTTTTGGTGGACAATTCAACGGGCCCCCCTCCAAATGAACCATGCTGCAAAAAAGACGACTGGCAATTTTGACCGAACCTCACATTACGCAGACATGTATTCTTACAACACGCAGACCTCAAAAAAGTTGCTGTAGGCCTACCGCCTGACTATCTTTCCCTCAGTCTCGACATGATGCAAGCGCCGGTACCGCCAAAGCATCACTAACACTGATTCTACCAAACAAACGGAACGCCACCAGTGTGTTCAGTATAACAAACTGCAAAGCAAACGAAACTCTAAACCCCGCGTCTATTTAGCTCAAGGCTTGTCAATCTACACCTGCCGCAACTGGGACGCCTGTTGATGACCTGCCTTCGCATCCTCTTGCGGCGACGCCGGCTTCGGCGGCTGCTCAGCGTCAGGTTTCTCGCTCGATTCGTCCGGAGGCGCAAGCCCTCCAAACAAGTCATCCTCCTCAAGCAAGCCACCGGCACTAGCGTTCGTGCTTTTGAGGAGGGCAATGACTGGCAAGAAGGATGGGTTTGTGCGATCCAGCAGCTTTGGCACATTGTTGCCCGCAAATTCCCACAGCTCCAGCGTGCCCACCAAGGAATCGATGGCAGTCAGCCGTTCTGACCGGTCAGCCAACGCAAAGACCCTCAGAACCCTGAACTTGACAAGGTGCTCGGTCAAGCGGACGCTCAACGAAGCTGGGAACTCGTCCACGTGATCCTGAAGCAGGACTAGATTCGTGACGAGGGTGTGCTCATTCAAGTCCGCCTTATTTATGCCAATCGCCGCATCGATGAGGCCGATGCGGTCCTCGAGGAGCATGTGTTCTTTCGTCCCCTCTAGCGTCTTCAAGGCTTTCTTCGCCTCGGCAAACAAACATTCACGCAAAGCCCAGCTTGTCAAACCTGCTGTCCTGAGGTTGAATCAACAACATGGGGCTCATATTTTTTGGAGTTTGACGCTTTGCTGCAGCAACAACAACAAGAATCAAGAACAAAGAACACGAGCAAGAGCAATAGCAGTCAATAGCAAAAGCAAATCAAAAATCAAAAACAAGAATAACGAGAAGAGCAATAACAGCAAGAAGCAGAACGACAACAACAACAACAACAACAACAACAACAACAACAACAACAACAACAACAACAACAACAACAACAACAACAACAACAACAACAACCACAACCACAACCACAACCACAACCACAACCACAACCACAACCACAACCACAACACACCACAACCACAACCACAACCACAACCACAACCACAACCACAACCACAACAACAACAACAACAACAACAACAACAACAGCACTCGTCCCAAGAGTAAGCACACAGGCGATCCAAATGAGTACTCATTGAATAAACACTCAACCCATCATTGCCGCTATGGTTGCTAGCCTACGGTTGCAGTTGCGCCGCAATGTTGAAAGATGTCGCAGTTAGCTCAACATCAGCAAGAGCAAGGGCTCTGAAACAAAGGAGACTGAGCCCGTCACACCTTGAAGGGCCTTTCCAAGCTTGTGGTTCTGCAAGAACTTGCCAACCTGCAAGTTCTGGAAGCAGGAAGACATGTAGCCAGTGAACGAGCTGTGCTTGATTGCCACGCGAGCCATTTCGCCATCGGCTAGCTCCAAGGCCGATATGTTCAACGCCTTAGCGCCGCTGGCTGACGTTAGGCCACCCTCCGAATCTTCATCGTCGAGCTTGTCGGCTGACTTCTTCTTGCCGCGGGCGTTCTTCTTCTTCTTCGCCGCCATGGTTGCAGCCGTGCTCGACAAGGACCCGACATTTGCGGTCGGCGCTGCAACAACCCTAGCTGGCGCCGCACTGCTGGAGGCGTGGGTGCGGAAGCCGAACTCGTCCTCCTCGCCAGCAAGCTCTTGGTCGGACTGCTCTGACTCCGCCCCCAGGGACTGCATGGCGTTCATCTTGGCATTCTCGATGTCCTCCGCCTTTGCAAGAAGGTCGAGCGCCGGGGTGATCCGCCCATCCTTCTTCAAGACCCCCTCCCGCCTCGCGATCAGCGTCGCAGCAGCATGGTCGAAGGTGACCTTGCCCTGCGCAGCATCAATCTGGAACTGGGGCTGAAGAAGTAACTCGTCGTGTACAACCGACACCTCCTGGAAAAAACGCATCTTGCGGACGCTGGCGATCAACCCCATGGGCATGCCCTCGAGCCCAACAGGGAACATGCTCGAGCTCCGATTCTCCTCGTGCAACACCGCCACCGGCTTTAACCCAAGCTCAGCAGGCGTCGCTCCAAAGTGGCGCACGATCTCGGCTTCCACCATCACTGCCACATCCCTGTAAACCATCTGACCTTGCACGGCTGACTACTGAGCACTGGAAATTCTATGGTGGGAGCTTTGGAGTTTGTGAAGCAACAGCAGTTTGGACTCTAACTGTAGCTATCATACAGAATGAAATGTTTGACCGACTCAGGCGGGCGCCCAAGTTAAAGCGTGTCGCAACTTCTGAGGATGGGTTCCAAGTCAAGGGGATGCTGGACTTGTCGCTGTGGGTTGATCGAATCTCCTGCCAAATAATCTTAGCGCCGATAAACTTGGCTTTGAACTCAGAGTTGGTGGCCACCAATGACGAGACTTCGCTCCATTCCAAGTGGGGGGCGAGCTTCACGCTGACCTCCCTGCAAACAAGGCATCCGGTCCCAACAGCATATCCACGATCGTCTGTGGGGAACGGCACCTCCTTACACGCTGACCAAAATACAGTGGCAGGCGAACATGATCTCACTCAGTCATATTGCTAATGACTCAACTTTTCAACTCCCCCCCCCACTGGGCCCCCCATACAAGGGACACCCTCACACAAGGCCTTGGTTTTGAGGGGTGTTGCCCGGTTTCAAAATACACTCCAACAAGAAACCTACCCTCCCGCCCGCTAACTTACACGAAACCCGAAAAGACTATTTTCCTTTAAGAGTGCACTCTGGTGCGTTCCATGTTCGTTGAAGGACGTGTTTTTTCTGGGATTCTGGTCGCTGAAGAATAAGCCACAAGGATTGGAGTGCGGATTGATACCTTTGTTTTTGTTGATGCTTTTTTTTACGCTGAAGGAAACCCAGTCCCTAAGTTTAACAACACACAACACATGTTTGAGCTTTACGTTCGTTGATGCGTAACATATAATGAGTAATATCGGTGAACCGCCAAAGGGGGAAGGGGAAAACGTTTACCCAGCACCGCGATGGTCATGTGTCAAAATGGCCACTTTCAACAAGTGGCCTGAAAGTGGCTGGAAGTGGCCTGGAAACGTTCTTCCAGGCCACTTGTTGGCACTGGACCCTGGGAAATCTTGCAGTCACTTCACATTTGTTGGCCGACAAAGGATGAGTTTTCAAAAAGGTGGTAAATGTGGGTCGCTTGACGTCACCAAGAGTGAAAAGCAAAAAACTCTGTCCGAGTGGCTTTGGGATCCTTCATGCAGATCTGACACGCGATTCCTTTACGAGGGCGTGCCCCGGCTGACTTTTCAGGAGCATCCTTCTGCGTGGCCCTCAACCTGCTCTTGGCGGCGGACGTCGAAGGCACGAGGGCGTGACATTCCTGCAACAAGTGGAAGAAGCCCAATTATAAACCCCCCGCCCCAATCCGCAGTTTAACAGAACCCCAAACTCAATCCTCCAGGGGCCGCTTCTTGGGGGCCATGTTCTCGCAAGGCAATGTCGAGGATCGGATAGGCAGCTTTCTGAAACTCTAAGGTCTAAAGCCGCCAAAGCTCTCAAGGCCAGCAACGCTCCAAGCACAAGTCTCTGGGTGTTCAACATGTGTCTCAAGCGAAGGGAGGGTCGTCAGCGTAATCTCAAGCGAAGGCGTTGAAACATGGTTCCCAAAGTACACCGGGACCGGAGGAAGCATGTTTCAGACTTGGGGTCTCTTGCAGTCTGCAACACTTGCAAATAATGTAACGACCAAGCCCTGGTCCAGCCGAAATTGGAGATCTAGCTGAATCTAGCCTCAAAGGTTTGCGCGACGCTTGGCTTCAAGAACAACTTGACTCGATCGGGTTCAGGTTGGGCAACGAAGGCGCAACTGATCCTACAATTCATACAATCCGCCAACATGTCTTGACTGTGCTCCAAATGCGGTCTTCAAGTGATCCAAGTGTGTCTTCTTTCCAGAAGCAGTTTGGGATGGAAGATCAACCTCACCAACGTTCCAGAGCTTGCATGGTGGCAGCCACTACTGAGTGGAAACCACAAGCTTGTGACCACTGTTTCGCACGTGATTCCACATTGTACCGCTTGGCTGAATTCAAACTTGAGGCGGGGGTGAACGAAAGCTAGCTTCAGCTAGCGGCTAGCGTGAGACGGGTCGGAAACAGAATAGCTTGTGCACCATGAGAGGCACCGTGAAGATCCTTAGGAGGCTACACGCAAACTGACACGGTGGCCCGACAGCCGTCTTAAAGGTCCTGCATGTTGCTTTCGCATGGCTTCCTGCAAGGTGGTTTCCTGAAAAGACTGAGGATTCGAGCCCGGGAAGGGGGGGGTTTAAACAAAGGAATCTTGCAATTGTTTTTGGCTCGTAACTGTCACCCCCTTACCTCGCTTACGCAAGCAGCTAGCTAAAGCTAGCATTCGTGACATGTCGCGGTTGCGCTGCCAGGGGGATCTGGGAAGAGGATGGAGAGGGCGAGGACGGCTTTGGGTTGGAATGTGATTCGTGGAGTAGACCTACTGAGTCTACCGCAGACCTTGGCAAAATCACCTGCGCATCGCGTGCTTTGGCTGCAGTGACAGTGCTGTTTCATGTGTTCGGCCAAGTTGTCACCACGGCCACTTTTTCCGAGCCAAGTCAAGGTGACTGCTTTCAACAACTGCTAGAACTGTTAGCAGCGCCACGCAGACACTGCGCAGCATTGAACATGACTGTCCAAAACGAAAGCCTGCCACGCAACCCACTGTTGGCATAGATCCAATGAACAGTTGCTAATTGCTTTGATTGACCCAGTACACTTGACACTTGGCGTTCGGCTAGAATGGGTGGTTTTCAAATCTGTGCAAGTTACGGAATTGTCTTGGCAGGCAGCGTGCAAGCAGCATTGAGGCACCTGTTACTACTGCGGGAATGCCCGCAGCAGATACAGCGCCCAACAAATTGTTCCGAGACTCGGTAAAGCGATTGCTTCGCCTGCCAGGGAACGCACATCTCTGTCCGAAAGCTCTTTGGGGATCTTGGTGTTGCTTGGATATCCCTGAAGCAACAAATGCTCAAATGGAACTAGCAGCCTTTCCTGCCGGTACGAAAACAATTGCGAAGACGTGGTGAGGGTGTGAGCAACCCCCTGTGAATTGCTCACAGGGCGCCTGCCGTGACTTTGGCTCACGTCCACGATTGCATCGTTCAAGGCTTTTTTCATGTTGTCAAGTCTGGCCTTCTTTGACCGGCACACCTGTACAGCTGCACAGTCAAGAAGATCCCAGACCCGCTTTGTTCCCTTCAAGTTGATCACCCCCTGGCGGCCCTCACTGTAAGGCGCGAATGCCTTCGGCATCTGCAATTTCTTCCTCCACTCTGCGGACTCGACCGGCCACTTGGAGAAGGGGTCCATGGTTTTGCTGACCTGGCCAGTGGCTGGTTAAGAATGCAAATTGAAAATGCTAATTTTTGCTAATTCTTTGAGTCTGCACAGGTTTGCAAATGCTAATTTTTGCTAATTGTTGCTAATCTTTGCTAGTTGCTTTGATTCTGCGCGGGTTGGCAAATGCTATTTTTTACTAATTTTTGCTATTTTTTGCTAATTTTTGCTAATTTTTGCTAATTTTTGCTAATTTTGCTGATGGCTTTGATTCT